TAAAAATATAAATGAATAGTTTGACAAAAATTCACCTTATGATCAGTATACAAAGGTCATCGTGATGAAAAATCTAATTACTAGGAGTGATAATTCTATCACAGAGGCAGAAGACTGACAGACTAAATTCACTTGAATATTATTGACACTTATGGTCAACAGTTATATAAAACCCTACCTTTTTTTAAGAGATTGTCATAATTGAAAAGTCAAACTCAATTAGACTATTTACAGAGTAGATGTCTAGTGAAGGAGAACACAGGTGAGGGCAACCGAATTGTATTTATCACAAATTATAGAGTTACTCAGTAAAATAGGAAAACCATATCGTAACCGTTAATTTACAAATCTTCAATCCATCATCAATCCATTGTCTGACATTTCACTTATTCATACGTTTCATACAAATTCCATTGTGTTCCCACTCTTCTTCCTTTCTTGTTGATCTTCCCCCATCTTCTGCTGCAAGACATTACGTTGACACTCACGTCATATACTACTTATAAGTAGCTCACACCACAAGACCACCATTAGAAACCTGGAGGCGTTAGATGGCTGTTTCGTCCTGGTATGGGACTCATCAGCAGTGTACTTTCACGACTCCTGTGACCTCTCTGGATTCTTAATATCTCTTTTTTGTTGAATTTATTGGAAAAATGTGTTAGATACATCCAATGGTCTAGAGGTTAGGCGTTCGCGCGCAAGACTGAAGGTCCTGGTTTGGAATCCTACAAGGTGCAGGAGTTGCGGATGCGCACTGCCTCTGATGAGTCCTACATCAGGATGAAACGACTGTCCAGTGCTTCCAAGTTTCTAATAGTGGTCTAACATTGATCGATTCATGATTTCAAATGTGTCACTTAACAATCTTCACAACCTCGTAATGAAGTTAAAGTATATAAACTTTTACAATTAATGATTTCAACAAGTGGAGCCAAATAAGGGGAAAAAAGGACAAAAGTAGTTTATATTATAAACAAATTTACCCCATCCTTTCATTGCTTGATATAATTCTTCAGCATCTTTTTCTGGATTACTATCGATGTTAATTTTCAATGTAGGATGATAAGTTTCACCATTTGGACCAATTATTTGAGCTTTATCTCTTCCCATTATGTTTATTGCAAAACTATTGTACCGAAACGACTACTGACTATCATAGAAATATAAAATAAAAACAGAATGAAAGGATAATAATCATTGTTCAATATTCAATAGTTTTATTCATTGAACACAATTAAATTCCAACAGAGAGAGAAATGAGGCATAGAGAAGCATATCTATCGTATAAATTCTTGTAAAAGTTTCTTAATTTTCATATTAAAGTTGAAGATTTCGATTCATCAGTCTCTTTTAGTGTTATGCTTGTCACCTAATATGCTTACAACTATTACAAGTTCACCTTAGTCAGTAAACGAGAGCGAAGATAAATGATCCACTGACACGATTGGCTACTCTAATCCGAACGTCTAAAGGCCCAACTAAGCAGAGGATGAAGTCTTGATGAGGCGTAGAAAGTGTATTCTACAAGTACCCAGAAAATGTGAGATCCTCAAGCCTACAAATTGAGTTTATTTATACATCATAGAAACGTTCTTTACAGAGTCACAAAAATAGCCTTCTAAAACAACACATCAACCATTGACAGTCGAAGAGAATATCCGAGTGAGAAATGTAAGCTGAAGGTCAACTGATCAGCCCATCCACAAAAGCGTATAATACAAAATTAGAACCTTTATCAAGTGATTTCTGGGTATCTAATGTGCCCAACATTTAATGGATGTGTATTCTCTGTGAATTGTTTAGATATTGTCTTTAGGTTAAAGACCTAATTATCAAAGTTGGATAATGTCTAGCAGTGGAATCTAACACTCGTTAGAATGGATATACTCGTATCCCATAGTTGATGTGTACTTTGGGACTTGAAGCCAGTAGCTTTTTCTTTCCAAACACTATCATGTTATCTACTTAGCCACTGAGCTCAGATAACTGCTGGCTTAAACAGTGGGGATGAAGAAGAATAATTCATCTGTACTGGTTGTTTCAATCTTTTTGCCTTAATGTTTAGGACTGGAATCAATCAACCTCTCTGACAAATATTCTACTGTTAGCTACCATTCATATCTACGAACTAAGCATGAATTATTCATTAAGAAAACTTCAGAATTAGTAAAATTCACAACAACTACAACATCATTTTCACAATGAATATCTATAATGTTTGATTAAAAGTGTTAGCGACATTTTTATTTCAATGTTCAATAGTGTTTCACTTACTGAAAGTTGAATATCATATTTCAATATTCAGTATTATTTACACAGTGAGTGAGTGTGAACATGATGTTTAATTCTCAAGGGATTTCTTCATCTTAAAATGGCATCATCTGTTGTTAGGAAACGGGTTCTAGGTAAGGATGGCAGATCAATCTATGAAGTATTAAAATTGCATCATTTGAGGTGATTGGGACATGTGTTGCGTATGCATAACCACCGACTGCCTCGACGAGCTATGTTTTGTGGTGTCGGAGTAGTTTGGAAGAAAGTTAGGGGCGGCCAGACCAAAACATGGCATAAATCCATGAAGTCACTGACAAGTGGACTGAGTCATGTTGGTAGATGTAGGCTACCTGGTTGGTGTCCGCGACACGTAAGTCACCGATGGTTAGAGAATGACGGCTCAAAACCGTTTGCAATGGCGTAGGTGCATTCATTTTTTGTGTTCTCTAGAATCGCGACCTTCTGAACCCCTTCTCCCTTTTATCTTTTTCTTGTTAAGGTTATTTCACAAGATTCTACATCTTGAATAATATCGTCAAACCCTAATCTCTCCGATTACTGCTAATACTTTTACTGCTTCTATTACTTATTTGAATGAACAGTTTCATCTCTGTGCTTATGTGGTATAGCAACTTAAACTGATGTACGTACGTACGAAGTTCTATTTTGCTGGTGATTGATTGAAAGCGGTATCATATGGAAATGCAGTGAAAACACCAAATGAATAGCTGGATAGCAGTTGGAACTTTTACAATCTGTACATTAATCACTTCAGATTATAACAAACTCTAGGCTGTTATACAACTTTAGATTTAATAAAATTTTGATGACTGATTATTGAAGAGTTCTAAATTAAGAATAAAATCAACTTCGCAAAATAGTCCCTTATTTCACGTAACTCTCTTAAAGCTGTCAATACGAAATTCAACTCAACAGATTAAATAAAATTTGTGGAACAGCGACAGTTACATCAGTCAGTCAGTCAGCTACAACGTAGAACTTCATCAGTTCAAGTTGCCGTACCATATTAACACAGAGTGGTTGCATTGTCAATTCAAATCGCATATTAGTAGAAGAAGTAAAAGAGTACTGGCACTAACGGAGAAGTTAAGGGATAGAAGATATAATTCGAGAAGTATATCGCTGTGAAATCAACTTAAAAAGAGAAAAAATGTCAACGGGAATTCAGAAGATGAAGAATGGATCTATCTGATCCAATGAAAACTATCTTCAACCATGTTATTCAAAGTCTCTAAGCACTGCTTACTAATCAGGCAATATTCACCTACTAACATGGCTCAGTCCAGTTGTCAATGACTTCATAGAATTGTGCTACGTTCCGTAGCTCTCTTATAGCCTACCCCTACACCACAAAACATAGCTCATTGTGCCAGTCAGTTTCAGTACTTATTAGGCCAGTTTATATCAATAATGTTCTACTTACGTATTCATTGAAATCTAATAACTGAAACAGTCTAATGGTTGAGCATTCGTGTGAAAGACTGGAGGAATTTCGTTTAGTATGAATGTGTACTACTGAAGAGTTCCATACATAGGAAGATAAGTTTGCCCATTAGTTCTACAGTTTCGACGGTTGTCTAACTTAAATCGGATCGTACTCACGATAGGGTATAATGGAACATGTTCACATTCGTTTAACCTTATGACAATTACTATGAATACGAGAATAATATTTTTTATTATCGGCTCTATTAAATAGAACATGTTCGATACAATATGGGGCTCTCAGCACGTACTATTTCAAAACGTTTACTGCACACAAAAAAATATTGATCTATAAGGGTTACATCTTTGTTCATCACATCGTAATGTAGAGATTTTATAATATTAATCGAGTGTAAAAATCCCAATCAATCAATCGATCAATCTAGTTTAATCAGGCAAAAAGAAAGGTATGCATGAATTGGGTGTAGTTAGTGTCTAATAAGGTAACATTTCATTGAAATTACAAATCGATCAATGTTGTTAGACCACCATTAGAAGATCGTGGACTCGATTCCTCAGAGTCAGGGTCATGAATGCGAACTACTGAAGAGTCTCATACTAAGATGCAACGGCCATCCAGTGCTTCCAGGTTTTTAATGGTGACCTAACATTGATCAATTCAGGATTTCAATGAATCTCAACAATCTCCACAACCATCCTACGTAACTTATAACTTGAAAAAAAAATCATTTCTTATGTAAACATTGGGTAACTTAACGAAAACACGGACTAACCTTGAGCGATAAAACCGATGTCTAATGAGCTAGTCAGAATTCATTCCATGTTTTTATATGAAATGTACAAAAAAAATATTGACCAATGTCATTTGTCTTCTATCAAATCGACCAATTAGATTATTTTCATCTGTGATTGGTTAATAATAATAACACAAGCGGTTTTCTATTGGATAAGCTAAAACATTGATCATTGGACTAGAGTTTCGATTGCAAAAAACAAAACACTATAGTACATCAGTCTACATTCAATGTTGACGATGAATTGACGATGCAATTTAACAGCCAAAAGAAACACATTCTATAACAACGCATCAAAAACATCAGATGTTACGCAAAAAAAATGTAATTGAAAACAAAACAGAACTACATTTTATCATTTCTTGCAAACTACACTATTTCAGACTATTCTATCCTTCCTAATTATGAAAGTTGACTATAAATAGTAAGTAACCAACTAAATATTACGTAATTAAAGATGAGAAATATATATATACATATAATCTGGAAAGTTCACTCTAAAACTACAATATTCATAAAGCTAAAAAGTTAAATATTTGTTTTTAAATAATCAACAACAGATGGGCATTGGTGGTGCGCGCTACTTATAAGTAGTATGTGACGCGAGTGTAAAAATAATGACTGGCAGAAGAGAAGATTGGGGAAGATCAAGAAAGTAGGAAGAGTGGGAACACAATGGAAATCGTATGAAACGCATGAACAGAGTGAAATGTCAGACAATGGATTGATGATGGATTGAAGATTTGCAAATTAACCGTTTACGATATAGTTTTCCTAATTTACTGAGTAACTCTGTAACTTTCGTTAAATACAATTCGGTTGCCCCACCTGTGTTCTGCTTCACTACAATTTGTAAGTCAACTATGCAAAATATGTTATAGAATTGTGAGATAATTTGCCGAGCTAATTCAATATGGTATTTTCGTTTAGGGGGGGGTGGGATGTTAGATCCCATAGAACTTGCTTGATAAATATCTTTATTTTGGATTTTATTCATAGGCTGATCAGTTGACCTTGAGAACATATTTCCCACCAGGAGAATCTTTGGCTGCGATTAGCTGATGTGGTATTTTTGTGTGCTATTTTGTGACTCTCCCAAGGAGGTCTCTATGGTGTATAAAAAACACGATTTGTATGCTTGGATTCACTGTGTGTGCTGGCTGGATGTTTGTAAAATGCACTTTCTACACTATATCAAGACTTCTTGCTAGTACATTTGGGTCAAGGGATCAGAGTAGCCTACTTGGACGCTGGTTCATTGTCTCGTTCTCGTTATTCGACTAAGGTGGGTACCCGTAATTGTTTCAACCATAACTAGAGACGAGTGTAACAATTTTACAGAAATGAACTGATTATCAAATAAACACATGATTTGTGTTGTGTAAACTGATAATTTTGTTCAGAATCCAATTAGTACAGTCTAACGAAAAGAAATTCTCTAGTCAAGTAACGGGGTGAAATCAAAGTAAATTAAGGCCTTCATTTATAACCAAACCAGCTAAATTGAATTAGCCTTAGCATTTCTCGATAGTTTGGTTTTAGCAAGTTGATTTTCGACGGGATGCGGTCGGTAACCGCATGTCCAATCGCTCTTTATCTAACTTTGGCACCGGCAGTTACCCTAGAAGGGCTATAGGCCAAGTTAGCTACTTGAGTAAGCAAATCAAAAGTAAGACGAAAGTTTTCTAAATAAAAAGTGAATCACAACTCTATGTACACCTAGTTATAATTATACATTTCCTGAAATTAGAAAACATAGTCATATTTCAAACCAATGGAGTATCTTTTCTTTAAGAAAGACAGTGAAATCTTGACAAATATTGTATTGCATCACTGGGTTGTGAAGATTGTTAAGTTCAATCATTGAAATCATGAATCAATCAATGTTAGACCATCATTAGAAACCTGGAAGCACTGGACAGCCGTTTGGTCCTGATATGGAACTCAGCAGAGGCAGTGCGCATCCACATCTCCTGCACCTTGCAGGATTCGAACTCAGGATCTTCCGTCTTGCATACAAACACCTAACCTCTGGACCACTGAACCGGTATCTAACGGTGTTAATATCTAACCTCGATCAATTCACGGTCTCACTAACACTCGGAGAAGATTCCCTAGAGAGCTGGTCAGTAGTGAGCTTACTTACTTAATTACTTACGCCTGTTACCCCCAATGGAGGAGCATAGCCCGCCCAACCAGTTTTCTCCAACCAACTCTGTCATGGGCTTCTCTCTCCAGTTCTGTCCAATGTTTGTTCATTCCTCTAATATCTTTCTCTATTTCTCGGCGTAATGTATTCTTTGGCCTTCCTCTTTTCCTTTTGCCTTCAGGGTTCCATGTGAGGGCTTGTCTTGTGATGCAGTTAGGTGCTTTTCGTAGTGTGTGTCCTATCCACTTCCACAGCATCTTCCTCATTTCCTCCTCCACTCGAATCTGGTTTGTTCTCCTCCCACAGTACGTTGTTGCTGATGTTGTCTGGCCAACGAATACGAAGTATTTTGCGTAGACAGCTGTTCATAAACACTTGTATCTTGTTGATGATGCCTTTCGTAGTTCCCCAAGTTTCCGCTCCATACAGTAGAACTGTCTTGACATTTGTATTGAAAATCCTGATTTTGGTTTTGGTTGAAAGTTGTTTGGAGTTCCAGATATTTTTTAATTGTAGAAATGGTGTCCTTGCTTTGCCAATCCGCGCCCTCACATCTGCATCGCATCCACCTTGGTTGTCGATGATGCTGCCCAGATATGTAAAGGTGTTAACGTCCTCCAAGGCATCTCCATCAAGAGTGATTTGGTTGATGCATGTTGTGTTGAGACCTGTCAGTAGTGAGCACAGGTTTTGAAGATTGTTAAGTTACTCCCTGAAATCATGAATCGATCAATGCGCGTTCGCGTGCAAGACCAAAGTTCCTGGGTTCGAATCCTGCAAGGTGCAGGATTTGTGGATGCGCATTGCCTCTGATAAGTCACACACCCGGACGAAACGGTTGTTCAGTACTTCTAGGTTTCTAACTGTAGTCTAAAATTGATCAATTCATGATTTCAAATCACATATTGTTTGTTCTTTGAACTATATTTGTGTTAGGATATTCATCCAATATCCTAAGAGAATTATTGATCGAATCCTATTGGTCGATTTCTATTGGTCAAAATTATGGTCATTTTAACTGTCAAAGTCGAATTCTTCAATGTCGTCGCTTATTGGTCATCCGGACTGTAAATGTCATTTCAGATGTTGTTTCTTATTGGTTGTCTTGACTGTCAATGTCATTTCAAATCTTACTTCCTATAGGTCGTCTTAACTGTCAATGACACAGACTTCGATGCTGTTTCTCATTTGACCAAAATGTATAAATACGCATTACCTGTAACGTTTTATGACCACGACCAGGACCAGCGCTCGGTCCCGGATCCCTAGTCCGGGATTCTGATTATCTTCTGGATTCGTACCTTTTACTTTACGGATGCTTGTAGAATACACGTTCTACTTCATATCAAGTCTTCTTATTTTTACTCAATATGGGGGTTGGAATAATCGGATTTGAGTATCATGTCGTGTCACCGGATCCTCGATCCTCGCTCTCGTTTACCGACTAGGTAAACTCGTAATAGTTCAAGCATAGTTCAAGTTGACTTGTTTATGTGCAGGCGTAACAATTTGATTAGCCAAACGTATCAGTCAAATTACAAATCTCCATTTCTGTCATTCCTCACAAATGACTAATTAATTTTGAATCGGGAATTAAGCAATATTAGTTTCCAAAGAATAGTTGAGTTATATAAGCAACGGAAATTCAAAATAACCAGGACACATGACGACTAAAAGTGTGTTTGAATAACCACAATCATTAACTAAATATATACCTGTAAATTATTTGATTTCACTGAAATTAACCAAGGCCAGGATTTTCAATACAAATGTCAAGACAGTTCTACTGTATGGAGAGGAAACATGGAGAACTACCAAAGCCATCATCCAGAAGATACAAGTGTTTATTAACAGTCGTCTACGCAAAATACTTCGGATTCGTTCTCCAGACACTATCAGAAACAACTTATTGTGGGAGAGAACAAACCAGATTGCAGTGGAGGAGGAAATCAGGAAGAAGCAGTGGAGTTGGTGGATAGGACACACACATCACAAGACAAGCCCTCACATGGAACCCTCAAGACAAAATGAGAAGAGGAAGGCCAAAGAACACATTACGCCGAGAAATAGAGAAAGATATGAGAGGAACGAACAAACATTGGACAGAACTGGAGAGGGAAGCCCAGGACAGAGTTGGTTGGCGAAAACTGGTTGGGCGGCCTATGCTCGATTGGGAGTAACAGGCGTAAGTAACGGTAAGTAAGTAAGTAACCAAGGCCAGTCAGTGTTAAATGTTCAATGATTATTGAACTATTTACTTTAGGCGCACTGTATTTATAAAACAAAATATTTTCATTTCATTGAATCAATAAACCGCTTGAAGGCTAAAAAGTTTTACGTTTTGATATTTTTTTTTATGATTAAAGTATAAACTTTTGCATGTATCTAGTATTTTTTTATCTATCAATTTAAGAAAATAATAAAATGTAGAAATTATTGAATAATAATTTAATTAAAACCATATGTCCAGCCATTTGTTTTAAACTTTTAATCAAATCAATGTTCAATTCAATTGTATTGTGTATTTATCGTTTTTTTCACAAATTTAACTCAACCAATCGCAGAATCGATTATTTTACACTGGAAAATGGCTGTGATGATCAAAATTTTTCAGAAAAACCTAACAATTTTATAGGTAGTTGTATTCGGCACAGATTGATCATACATAATTAGGGATTTATTGATAATTCAGTGATAAGTGACAGTTGTTTGGTACTAATAAAGATTCCTTGACAATACGCATTTATGATTTCAGGTATCCAGGTATTAAACTCAGTGCCTTTCAGGTGTTAGGACCAGTTTATTAACAATTTGACTACTTGATGGAAACCTTATCGTGGTGTTAGGATATTCATCAAATATCCTAAGA